TTTGTGACTCTAGCTGATAAGTCTAATTATTAAATTAATTTTAAAGATTTTTTATGTCACACACTACATTTTAATAACTTTTATTTTTAAAAAAAATTGGCGTAGGGTATAATTGTGCTATTCGCTGTTTCATATTTTACGAATGTTAAAGCTAAATGAAAGATCATTTTTCAAAGCCAAGAAGACATTGGCATCAAAAGTACTAAAGTATGAAAAGCTTTTATTTTAAAATGTTATATTTTTGTATATAATAAGCGCAATATTAATATAATTATCAAGAGAACTGAAAACAAACTTTTTTTTGTGTTGTAACGTTATACCAAGTTTCTTTGGCCTTTTTTTCCGTAAATAGTAGCTGTAATCTGTAAATTCCGTAAAGAAAAAACTTTCCGTAAAAAAGTCTTTTTTGTATATGTTACGCAAAGTTACAACTATCAGAGCTGGCAACGAACTAATATATACCACATTGGTTTTTGTTTCCCTAAACAGTCATTATAATTTGAGGTAAATTCCATAAATAGTGATCACAATTTCAGTAAACAGTAATTATATATTTGATTATCTCAGGATAAGGTTTGTTAAAAAACTGTTTTCATTTGCTCCTCGTAGAATAAAATTTTCAATTAGTAAAATATTTATTGCCTTTAATAGTTCCATTCTTTTACCTGCAAGTTTTGCAGTTTGAGAAATCACAATCTGTGTTTTATCGACTTATTGCTATTTTCTGAACAGTCCAAATGAAAAAAAAAAAAAAAAAAAAAAAAAAAAAAAAAAAAAAAACAGCATGCATTAAATGATTATACGTTTCCTCAAAAACAAAAAAGCCAACCGAAGCTTTCACAATGAAATTTTTTTCGGTATAAAACCACCAAAATGATCATATTTTTCTTTCAATGGTCCTCTTTGTAAATTTATTTACTTATTCTCTCTTGAATTTAAATGGATAATATTGTATGAGAAGATGATCTAAATCAATAAATTCCTTCCCGAATATTTCTGCAAATCTAGCATATGGAATTTGATTTTTGTCTTTAATAATTCTTTCAAACTTGAAATTTTGTTTTAATTTGGAAATCACATTCATCTACTAGAAAACTATCTCATAGTTACGAAAATATTTCGTGGTAAAAATTTTGTTTACTTTTAGGACCATGTATTATTTATTAGACTAGTTGCAGGGTTACCTTTTACCTGGTATTTTTATTTAAGTAGAATTTAGAACACAAAGGCACTCTGTTGTGCCATAATATAACCACAACTCGTGGCAATACAATTAAATAGAACAGTCAAATTTAAGTTTAAACGTGGAATAGTAGTGGAAAACTACACAATTAGTTAGTATACTAGAACCTGGCTCACTAACTCTACCGGAACATTAGAATTAAAATGTCGGCAGCGAGAAAACGCAAAGTTGCAACTATCAGAGCTGGCAAAGAACTAACATATACAGTGCACGTGATACCAAAAACAGGCTCTGTCTTAAAACTGAAAAACCTGAGTTTAAATACAAGCTATTCATTTACATTCTGGTGAGGAATACGAAAAGGAGAAGTTATAGTAAAGACTGAAAATATAAATAACTGGTTAATTTAGATAAAATTCCCTACATAATTTATCAGAATTCTAGCAGTATTAATACACCCGTCTATTTTTTATCCTTTTCGCTATATACATCGAGCAGAGACAGAAAAGATGGATAGAAATCTTTAAGCCCTACTGCGTAAAATTTAGAATGGGTATTTCTAACTAAATATCTTATAATTCATAATAATTTGTTATAATAAAACTTTCCATATACCATATCTAAGGAACACAAAATGATCAAACAATTCAATTTAAAACCACGAATGAAAAAAATTTCTTTTAATCAGAATTTAAATTAGCATTTAAAATAGTAGTTTAAACTTCTTGTTTAAAAATCTGCAAAGAAAAATCTTAAATCGCAAAAATACCAAAACTGAAAGTAAATTCTAAATATTGAAAAAGTATTGTCATTGATTGCAGATAAATCGACTTATCCAGGGGATAAACTAATCTACCATCAATTAACAACAACTAAATTAAGAGAGTGTTTCATCTTACTTCCAAGTATGCATTAAATTATTTGCTAGATTCAAAACCATAGGCCAAGAATCTTGCTAAACAAAATAGCAAACCAAGCCATTTAAGCCAAGAATCTTGTTAAACAAAATAGCAAATAATCTTAAAATTAAAGTTTCTATTAAGAACACAATTAATCTGAAGGAGACGCTTACTTTAGAAGACACATTCCCTACACTCTCATTTCAATTTCAAAAACACAAAGAAACATATTAGAACGTTAAAAGTTAATTCAAAATCATTTAGTCCAAGTCATAGGCTCTTTAATTTACTTTTAATTACTTTATTTCAAATAACTTATAAGGTATTTCTGCCGCCTTCTTAGCGTGCCTCCGTACTGTAGTAGTCTGCACGCTGGGTGCGTATTCCAGAGGTCCGTGATTCGATTGCGGGCGAAGCCGTTGCTCATTTTTCAAGTTTCCTGCTTCTAAATAACCTAATGTCTCTACAGTGGCGCCCGAACTAAAAAGGGTGGTGGATGATGATTCTATACACCCAGGATTTGGCGAGTGGGTGCCCTAAAAACACTAGTCGCCCTTCAAAAAGGGGAATATATACGGTATGTCTCCCGCCTTCTTAGCATGCCTTCGTGGTTCCAAGTCCGTGGTTTGATTCCCGGCGAAGGCGTTGCTCATTTTTCAAGCCTCCTGCTTCTAAATAACCTAGTGCCTCTACAACCTAATTCCTACTATTTTAACGCTTGTCTAGAAGTATAAGAAACACAGCATATGAGGATTAGTACCACTGCTACGCTGAAATAATTTGTGAACATTTGTACTTTGCAAACCAGAAGTTACACTATCCCAGACGCAAGCGGTTTCTTCGCAAAGCAATGACAGCTGTAAAAAATTATGGTGGATTAGTAACTAGGAGTCTCATGATTTCTTTGATAACATTAGAATAATTTAAATGTGTTTACGAAATGTTTGTCGGTTTAAGAGTAATGAACATCATCAAAAATCTCCTAAGCTTAATCCTTTCTTAGGAAGGTCTACAACAAGAGCATCGGATTTCAGAAATTTAAATGTCAAGTTCAAGAGCTTACTTGACCTTATTGCAAGGATGAATGATGCTACATCATGGTTTAAATGTCAATGGAAAATAATACATAAAAAGATCTAGCATGGTAATCTCCTATAACAGGTGTTTAAAAAATTCAAATTAATGTTTGTTTTAAGATGTAAGGTGGGCAGTAATAAAGTAAATTTATAAGGATTATAAATCTTCATAAAAAGTAAACGTACTTGTGCTGTTTTTTGTTTGCAAAACACTCAAGGTTATTTCCGAAATCTGCAAGTTTTATAGAGTAAAAAGGAGAAAAAAAAACAAATTATTTATTGAATAATTGACAAGCGTTATAAATTAAAAAAGTACTGGTCACACGATATGGCAAAAACTGTAGTGCCTTTAAAATGTAAAGTCGAAACAAATGCATTTATTTTTGTTTGTTTAGGCTCTTCATTTATGGAAATATCGGATATTTTTTTCCTGAGACATAATAAGATAAAAAACTTTCTGATATATTGTAATTACATATTTCTAAAAAAATTAAATAATTTTAAATATAAGTTTCTAACATTAACACAATTAAAGACGCAATTTAACATAATATTTGCCTTTTTTTTTTTTTTTTTTTTTTTTTTTGAGTAAAGCTGTTGATTTTATTTGGATTATTCGAAATTATTGTAAATGATAAAAGAAAACATGCTATTAAATTCACAAATTTATTTTTCATAAAACTAAAGTTAGCAATGATAAACATTTAACAATTTTGAAAAACTAACAATTAAAGAAACTAATTATGAGTAACAATAACTGACGTAAAGTGAGTATATTCTTTCTGCTCATTGTTAGGTTATTTATAATTACAGAATTTTATTATTTCTTATTCTGGGTTTTCTTTTTATTACAATTTTATAACATATAATTATTTTTAGTAAGACAAATACAATTGCTGAATGTGCTTATTAATTACTAATTCTGAAGTCCTTTGTATCACAGTCAGAAGTTTATTTTCCAATTCCAGCTTTCACTTAGGCAGTCTGATTATATACGTATTCTTCTGCTCCGCTTATTGATAATAATTAAATTAAAATCCACAGCCATTAATAGAAAGTACCAACGTCTTTATTCTAAATCTATATTAATATGTTAGATTATTTTATCTTATTGTGTCAATTAAAAGTGCATAATGCAGTATCTATCATTTTACTGTAGAAGTTGCTTTTTTGTTAACTTCTTTAAACAGATGATTTGATAGACGACGGCCAGAAGCAAGGCATAAATTATATGTAATTGCTATACTCGAGAATCTTAAGTTACATCTTCAAATATTTAACTTACTAAATCACTTATGTAACATTAATAATTAGCAAAAATTATTTTATTTTATTAATTAAAACGTATACTTTTGGTAAAGTAATATAGAATATTTAGGTGTTTATTTGATTTGTTAAAAGATCTAATTAGTAATTAATAAAAAATGTTGCATTTAAACTAGGCACAATCATGAGTTTAAAAACGAGTTCCTAAAGATTTTCACTATTCTCACTAAAAGTGTTAAAACTCGAATTCCTGAAGAAATATTAGAATCTCATCCTAAATGACAGATCAACAAAAATCATATATATGTCGAGTAAATGAAACATAATTGGTAAACTTTAAATGCATAAAAATGTTGTCGAACTCATATGGTTTCTTTTAAGTGAAATTTTATTAGTATCGAAATAGCAATTATATACCAAAATTCATACTTCTTTAGAACTTACTTGCAAAGATAATAATTTATTTAAAAGTTTCAGCTTTCTTGCTTTTTATTCAATGTATTAAAAAGCAAAAATTACCCACTTGATAAAAATTATGCTTGAAACTGTAATTGATGTCTAATTATTATTCTTCAGGCGGGCAGCTATGCAGGATTTGCCATCATATTCGTTTGCCAAACGATGGAGCTGATCATCTTTCCTGATATCTTCGATGGCATCGGCTGGCAGTTTTATGTAGCTCTTGTAATCCTACCGTTTGTTGGTCTCTCCTTGGGATACGGTCTAGCTTTTCTCTTTCGACAGCCACCTCCAGTTAGAAAGACAGTTGCCATCGAATGTTCGATTCAAAATATTGGAACAGCCCTCACAGTCATCTCCTTGTCCTTTCCTATAGAGGTGAGTAGTTATGTACACATATCTCATAACCCATTCTTATACAACACTCACACGAGAGCACGGGATGGACTAGTAAGCGTTGTATTCAGTGGTACCTGGGTAGAAGTCGTTAATATGTTCTAGATCCTTGGACGTGTTCCAGATATGACGTATAACAAACGAACGTTTCCAGTAAGATGTAAAACAATTAAGCCTTTTTTATAAAAAATATCCCACTATTATTATTATGATACTGATAAATACTAATATATGTAAATGAAACACTGGACATGATACTGTATGTAAATGCTGTTTTGCTATTCAGATCAAAAGCAATTTTTCAACATGGCGTACACGTCTGTGATCTTTGTCTGCTAACCAGTTTCATCCTCTTCGAAATGTTTTCCCAATGGCGGGCTTAATTTTTATTTAGAATCTTAACAGCTACATAATTTTTAGAATCATCACAATAATTTGAGTTTTCAAAAGCTGATGTGAGTGAATATTTCTATAGCCATACAGGTCAGTAAATATTATTGATAATTTACACTACGCCACGTAGTTATAATATGGATGGTAAAATCAAAGTTAAATTTTACAAAAATTTTAAATAATCCTCTAATATGACCCAAAACAGCTGGTTTGTAATAAATCTTAAAAGGGTAATGATTAGAACGCAATTTGAAGTTTTTAGATTTTAATTCATTATCTACCATAATAAATAAATTTAAAAATTTAAATAAAAAATTATTATTAAAATATTTCGAAGCCCTCCCCCTCAAAATTTATTCCGTTTAACTGATAAAACTATATCTTCATTACTTCATAAATTTAAAAATCAGCTCAACTCATGCATATTTTTAATTCCTTGTACGAAGTAAAAAGGAAGTATTATAATCGCGAAAAACTTCAGGCATCATATTTCAACGAAAATATCCATTTAAACGCTAACGAATACAATTTAACGATATTTTTGCGTGACATCCGTACGTAAGGACAGAATAAAGAACGCTTTTCCCTCCAAAATAATTATAAAACTGATTTAAAATGAATTCTGAAGAGATATTTTCGTGGCGTCTGTGCTTATGTACATATCTCGCATAACTCAAAAACGAGTAGCCTCAGAACATTGAAATTTTGTATATAGGATTGCTTTAGCATCTAGATGTGCACCTCGTATTTTGGTTGCAATTGGCCGCACCAAAAGTATATAAATATATATATATGCAGAGGCTCCCAAAAGTGTTTGTACACTTATGATTTTCATTGAAATAGGGCTCTATCCATTAATTAAAAGTAAACTTTCTGAATCAGAATTTAATAATAAGATTTATAATCTATTCGTAACATAATTACATGAAATATTTTTAAAATATAGCGAAATTTTATTTTTAAGAAATTAATAATAAAAAAAAAAGAGAAACATTTTATCTCACAAAAGTCTTCGTACACTTAAAAAATCTTGACATATTAGTAAATATTTTCATTTTTTGTTAAATTAATATTAGTAGGATATCCTTTAGCATCCATAACAGCTTTTAAACGTCTGGGAATCGATTTTACTAGTTTTTTTTTTTTTTTTTTTTTTAATTTCTGTATCAATGTTTATCAATTCTTCCATCATGGCTGCTTTGAGTTCGCTTTTCGTTTTGATGTCGTATTTTCGTACTTTAACCTCCAGCTCTTTCCAAATGTGTTCTATGGAGCTTAAATCTGGCGACTGAGGTGGTATTTTCAAAACCAGGGGACGATTATAGAGACACAACAGGCGAACGTTGAGAGCCGTATACTTAATCATGATTAAAAATAAAGTTGTTTCCAAATTTTGGGCTGATAATTGTAAATTGTCTCTTAAAATATTTAAATAAATAGAATTATTCATTATGCCATCAATAAATTTACCTAGCCCTGATGTGCTGCCATGTCCCCCCCCCACAAGTCACCTCCACCGCCATGCTTAACTGTTCCAACTAAGTTCTTAGAATGAAGTTCTTCATTTTTTCTTCTCCGTATAGTTATTCGACCATCGGAGCCAAAAATGTTAAATTTGCTTTCGTCATCAAATAGGGCATTATTCCAGTACGTTTCGGGTATATTTATCATTGATTTTGCGAATGAAAGCCTAAGCCTTTCTGTTTTCTCACTAATAATTTTTTTTTTTTTTTTACGGGCAGAACACCCATGTAATCCAGCTTTTCTGAAAACTCGTCGAACAGTTTAAGGTGAAATTGAAGTAGAAAATTTTGCATTAATTTCTGCAGAAACTTTTACAGCACTCAAATGTGGGTTTTTCACAAATTTTCTAATAATAAATCTCTCATCACGTTTAGTTAACTTTCTCGGTCGACCTTTTTTTACCTTGTTTTCAATCCGATTTTCTTCTTTAAAGCGTTTTATCACATACTGCACTGTAGAATGGGATAATTTAACTAATTTAGCGATATTTCGAATTGATTTACCACTACTATGGTGAAAAATTATCAATTTTTGATTGCTGTTTGTAATTTCTTTACGACTGCGACCCATTTTCAATAATAAATAGAATATTATGAAGTAAACAATAAAAAATTAAAGCAAGCGTTTTTTTAAATGCCACCACAATGCAAAAATTAAAAAAAGCGGCAAACGATAATTCTAATTTTGATTTTTATCCAAAAATATTTCAGTATACGAAGACTTTTGCGAGATAAAATTTTTATCATTTTTTAATTATTAATTTCATAAAAATAAAGTTTCGCTATATTTTAAAAATATTTCATGTGATTTTGTTACGAATAGATTATAGATCTTATTATTAAAATCTGATTCAGAAAGTTTACTTTTAATTAATGGATAGAGCCCTATTTCAATGAAAATCATAAGTCACTTTTGGGGCCACTGTATGTATGTTGCGGTGAAACACCGAAATCTGGAGAATGTCGACTTTCACCGGTGAATGTCAACATTCACATAGTCTCTTGGTGTATGTCCGAAATATTTTCCAAATACTCTTATTTCTGACTTACACCGGTCAATGTCGACATTCACCATGTACTAATGGTTAATGTTGAACATATAACAATATTATATTTTCTTCTCCGTAATTCAGTCGCGAATAAACGCACTTGAGAAAATAAGAACCTAAAACACACAATACATTCAAAATGAGAAAGGAAAATAATAGAAGTTAAAAACTTACTTAATTATACAGTACGTTCTAAATGAGAAAATAAAATATTAGTAATAAAAAATTTACTAAATTATGTGGTTGAAATCTTATTTATTGCAACAACTTAAACTATTATGGCACTTTATGACCTCTCTTTTCGACTTTCACCAGATCATATTTGTGATTGTCGACATACACCGGTGAGGGTCCGAATATACAAGAATGTAGTGAAATATTCTGTCTTTCACCGACGTATTTGGTGAATGTTGATATTCTCCGGTGAAAGTCGACATTCTCCAATTTCGGTCTTTCACGGTAACATATATATATGGTTAAGATTTTTATGCCTTTAATAAATCTGCATGCGATATTTTTAGAATTATTAACAATTTAAAGGTTGTTTAAGTGCCGCTAAGCCTTTTGCAATGGCGGCAATGTTTGTTTACATTTGAAACAGCAGAATAGTAGATTTGCTGCCAATCTAGAAAAAGTAAGCTTCGCTAAAACAAAGATAACGCCTTCTTTTATTATTGCGAATTAAATCATGCTTAATCGATTCTGGAATTTATTCGAGGAAATAAGTATTTAAGATTTATTTCATAATTTTCAATACAGATGTTTTAAGTTCTTATGTATTTTTGCCTTGTCGCCAAGTAAAAACTGAATTAATTGAATGAGAAATAGTGAAACGTGTGAAAACCTTTTTTTTTTTTTTTTTGTTTGTTTGCTTAATTTCTTTTATACATCGTTTTAGATTTATTATAGTATTTGAATAGAATATATGGGAACAATTAGATAATTCTTAAGATGATAGAAATTTTGTGCATAGTGAGTTAAAAAATTAATGAAATTTAACGCTGTTAAGCGAAGTTAGGGCCAGAGTGTCGCTATGGTAAACAAATAGAGTGAATTTTAAAGAGTACATTTATTGTGTTATTCTGTTGTGGCTTATGCGCTAATGACGAAATAAATTTAATTCAGTACAATAAGTTTAAACGAAATGCAAGAAAACATGCGTATAATTTAATATTCTGTAAAAGGAAGTCATGTGGTGTACGCAACAGATTTTTTAAAACCTTCAAATGGTACAATCAGACAAATATCAAAAACAGTCGCTACAGCATTCCGTGGAAACATACCTAGAAACTTAGCAACCGTAATCGCGTATATGGTACAAAAGCACTCTGGCTTCAAAAAGTTATCATGGTGTACTACATGTAAAAAAAGTGATTTGAAAGGTTAATTTTTCTACTGCTGATGAACAACATATTATCATAATGTCGAAGGTACTAAAAGATCTTAGGTATTATCGATTGGCAACTACGAGCTCTCTCATTTCTGACCATTGCAACAGACATAATTTTATGGTTTAACTTAAAAATTAAATTTTCAAGTTATTATTTAGGCAAAAGCCAATCTTAGGTTGATGTTAGTTGTGTTGAAAAATTGTGAATTTCGAAGGAGAGACGCACAACGCAGGATCCTCTTAATCAACAAGTCGTTAGAAAAACCAAACAGTAACTCATGGCAAAACTTACTAGATACATCCAAATGAAGATTAAATATATTTCTTATTTCTGACGAAAATTTAATTCTGCCGTTACAACGGATTGGATGTTCTACTGCTGAAAAATACCATGAAAGTAATAGTGTTTAAATTAAGGAATGGAATCTTCAGTTTCGTATGAAGTGAATTAGCAACTGAGATTGTTTTCAACCTCAGTAAGACGATTATTTCAAAAAGATATGAAACTACGCTAAATGATGTCTAGCATTAGCTTTGCGAGAAGCTAAAAGCGCTAACAACAATATTAAAAATTTTAGAAATTATAATTTCTGTCTTATTCGAAGTCTTTTTTTAATTAATATACTATTTTGATTTAGCTGAAATGAAAGTTGCATAAGCATATTTTTGCAGCATTTAACTTGTTTTTAATTTTAAGGCTCTTTATTTATCAAAATCTTTATATTTCATTTTATAGCACAGAAAGCTATTGGGAAATACTCACATATATTAAAAACTCACTGCAATAATTGTAGACGTGCGGTTGTTCTGAAATAAAAAAACATTTTCTATTACTAATTCTTTATTATTAGCCCAAAAGGAACGCTAGTCCCGAATGCGACATTAGTCTGAAATCGGCATTTTGCAGCAATCACTATAAACGGCTCATCACTTTTCAGATTGTTGCTACCAAATATTATCGACCTGTATTATCTTAAAAATAAATAATGAAGAATCTGCATGAATGCATGCATGTTTCTCGCATTGTGAAAAAGCAAATTTTGAATAACGTGGTCCTCCACCCGAACATCGACCAATGGAAGCCAAAATTTTCAATTTCGAATTTTTTTATTACCTATTTCATAAAAACTTTAACGAATTTTTTATTAACAAACTCAACGATTTCAAAGCGAGCACTGTACGGAATAAAACATTTTTATCTCCAGTACGCGAGACTGTCTATCAGAAGTTCTAAAGGTCATAGAGTCTTTCTCTTCTTTTCCACATACACTGCAATTAACCTGGCGAATTCTCACACAGGGGCGAATGAAACTACTGACTCAGACGAAGGGCAAAAATAACCCTTTATTAATTGAAAATAGTCAACAGTAGGGTACGGACTTCTTGCGTTACAAAAACACCGTCAACTTGCGGTGAAAACTAAACGTTGAATATGATGTAAGTCAAACCTAAAATAAATAGTGCAGAATAGCACTTAAGTTACACCCAAGAGGTGAATTGACAGGAATCTAACCTGCGTAATACTAATCTGATAAGGCCAAGAGACTTACTAGCGTAACCGCGAAATAACAACGAAACGTGCGCTTGGCTAGCGAAACACGCCCTGAAAAACTCAGATATTCACCCGTTTAAATAAGCACTTCACTTAACTTCAAATTTACATCCTGGCGAGAGAATGTGAGGGGAAGATGAGAAGTTTAGAATAGGTACCAAAGTTAAAATTAATTTGTTATTCAATATAAGGAAAACCCTACAAGATATGCTGTTTTTAAACATTTTTAGACTAAAGGGGCGTTATCCCAAATGCTCTGGAAATGTGTATATGTGTGTAAATGAAGCAAGCGCCTTTTTGGGTGTCATATAAATTTTGAAAGCTTTCAAATTTGTTATTTATTTATTTATATCTTTTTATAGATGCAAAAGAAAGTTCTGGCATTCCCTTGGTTGTATTCCTTGCCTCTCATCACGACAGTTACAGTTAGTTGTGCTCTTTATCAACTTTATAAACGCACGTGCTTCAAAAATAGTTTAGGATCATGCGAAAAGAAGCTAAACGGGTTGGGTGGTAAGTAACAGATTTATATAATTTTTTATAATTTCAAACGAATTACTTGCTTTGCGAAGAAATAAAAATAGCCGAGTTGTATTTTCATTTTTCTCTAAATTAGTATTTTGATATCAATATGTGTTCATAATATAGTCTTATTTAAATCTGAAAATTTGCAATAAAAATTTCTTATTTCTTTACGTTACTGAAGCTCCAAATTGGTCAAAGCTTTAAATTAACATGTTAGCAATAATTAAGTAGTGTTCGATTAAGATTATAGCCTTAATTGAGTATCTTTAATTTACAGACTAATACATACCGTATATTCAGACATATAACGCGCAATTTGAATACAAAAAATTAGATCAAAATTTTCGGGTGCGCTTCATACGCCGGATATTTTTTTTTATCCAATTACTTGGCCACTACTAAGACCAGAAGGGGTGGTCACTTTATTATGGAGGCACCTAACACGTGGGCCACCTTTGAAGGGACGGTCACTTACAACCATGGCTTCTCCTGGATTCGAACCCGGGCGCTTTGGTATCGCCGTCGGGTCTCCTAACCATTATACCGTCTGGGAGGCAATAAGCCTGATATAAAAATGATAGATTTAAAAATAAGGAAAAGATGAGCATACAAAAATTTGATTTCTGCACTTACCTAAATGCTATGACTGGTGATTCTGGCGAGTTTCTAGGATCCAGTTTGCAATACTTTCTTCTAGAATAGGCCACTTTCTTACTTTTTTCAGCGAAGCACATTTATTTTTTGGCATATTAATTATTGTGATGTCATTTTTCTCCACTCACACATAGAGCTTTCACCAATACCAAACATGCTTGCTGCAACACGATTTCCATTTTCTTTCCAAACTAAATGACTTTGCATTTAAAACCAACAGTAAGTTTGTTTCGGTCAGCAGGAGCCATATTTACTGGAACAGTAGATCAATTGTGTTTCAACTAAGTCAAATGCGTTTACTTTGATGTTCTCTTCAAAATCACAGCTTCGAATGTCTAGAGGAAGAGAAAACATCTGACTTCTAATTCCGCGAATTCATTTGGGTCGGAAGTGCATTAGTATCCTAAATGATTTCCCCTTTTTCTCGAAACCGTAGTATGATATTTTTGTGCACACCTGCACTGAATACAACCCATCATCTTTTCAGAATTATTTACTCCCTCAAGCATTTCTCTGACGCCAATGTAGTTCCTCTTATCGCTTGTCAGTTCAGCATACCGTTCTTTGAAAGCCTGCGAAAACTCTTCGAATGAACAACTTCAAAAGATAATAGCATCGCACATGTATCTTTCAAATTTCCTCGTAACGAAAAGGATGCGCGTTATACGGCGAATATACCTCAAAATTAAAAATGTAATTTGAAATTATAGATGCGCGTTATATATCGCTGTGCTTTATAAGCCGAAATATACGTTGTACACTATACAAATTCCTTATTATCTGTAGTAGCTTATATTGTTTGTTAAATGTTTATATCAACTATTTGAATCGAAAGTTTAAGATGATTCATCATATTTCGAAATTTGGAAAACTTCTGTTTCTTATTGAACATTAAATCTCAAGTTATTAGTCCAAAGGAGCAATTTGCCCTGAAGGACTATCATTTTCGTTTTGGCATTTTGCGTTGGTTCACTATAAATGTCCAATTCACTTCTCAAATGGTTGCCACCCAATATTATCTCCCTGTATTATATTTAGAGAAATTAAATAATGAAGAATCTGCATACATCTATGTGTGTTTCTCGCATTGTGATAAAACAATGGTACCTATAGAGCCATCCAATTTTGAATACCGTACGTTTCTACCCGAATATGGCCATCCGGAAGCTCAAATTTGGAATTTGGTGTATTATCTATCTCATGTTTTATAAAACTTTAATGAATTTTTGTTTAACAAACTCAACGATTTAAAATCGAACCATGGCAACAATCTAAAGGGGGGGCTTTTTATTTCCAGTGCGCGGAACTGTGTTTCGGAAATTCTAAAGATATGGTCATTTTAAAATTATTTTGCGATATTGCTATTGAACGGACCCCACAGGAACCCACAAGTCCAGACACGAAAGATTCGGTGATCTTGGGGGCCAAGGTATGGGACTACCTCCACCTTCATCGCCCTAGAGATTTCGTGGTTCGTATAACAACCCATCCTCTCGGAAATCCATGCTAGAAATGCGAGAATCGACTTTTTTATACCGTTTACAATGCCACCTAGCGGCTCGTCGTTTGTGTTCCAAGCATACATTCTGTGGCGAATATTGCTCGTACAGCTGCCTTCTATCACCCCTAAAGTTTTGCCCACTTGTTCTATTCACCCTGTACATTGCTTTAAATCATAAAATAAAAATAAATGTAGATTTCCAAATAGGAATTATCAGGAAATTCAAGTTATTAGAAGACCCATTAAATTAAAGTTATATAAATATCTTCATTTCTTATAGATCCTGCAGAATTTATATACTTAAGAATAATACAGAAATTCCTATAGAATTTTTACATAACTCTTGATTAAAAATTCTAATCAAAATTCTTACTCAGAGGTTTGCAAGCTCGGTATTATTTTACAGCCAATTTTCTATATTCTGTAATGTTTTTATAGCAGCATAATGAATAATGAGCTATCCATTACCAATACATTTTTTCTAAAGTGTCAGCGTAATAACTACTTCCAAAGTGACCAAAATATAAATTTTGCAATTTTATCCTGAATTATGTTTCGACGTAATGTGCTACATCATGTAAATGTAATTGTTTAGTAGTAATTAATTACTAATTGAGTTTTTTGAAAGGTACCATAAAGGTATTCAAACCTACTTTAAGAGTAACAGTTATTTATAGGCATATAACTTTAGTGACTTTCATTTATAATAAATGAATGTTCATTAACATATTAGATACAAATTAACCATAAAAATAATTAACTGAATAATATTTCATATTTCTATTATTATTGTTACCTTATACATTATGTACATTAAATGATTCTGCTTTTAGTGAAAAGTTATTTGGACGGTTTGGCAGAACTTCAAGGCTCACTCTGAACTAAAAGCATCCCATATAATAGTATCAGTTGGGAAGAAAAATCATGTCACAGCTAGGAGGAATAGACGAGCAAAATGCATGAGAAATGTAAAATACAAGTGTTTAAATAAGAGGAATATAAAAAAAAAAATAACGCTGCATGTAGAAACCAGCGCATTTACAAATGCGTCCCCTGGCCTGAAGCTCAATTTGCGACTATGCATTCTTTTAATACGCGACTTGTAAAAAGCGTTTGTTTCAGGCATTAATTTTTATCCATTAAGTTTGAAAGCCCTTATACTGAACACCCTCTTTTACTGTATGTTTTAGAACTGTAGGATTTTACTGTATTCTTATGTTTTAGAACTGTAGGATTTTACTGTATTCTTATGTTTAAAACTGTAGGATTTTACTGTATTCTAACCAGTTATTTTTAGTTTGACTTTTCGATTTCTCCTGATTTCAGTTGCCTACCCGAATGTAAGTTTTGTACGACGTAGGTATAAATTTTAAACGTGTTTCAGAAGCACTATTTAAACTGCGTTGCAAGAGTTTAAAAGAGTAGTAGCGGACTTAGTTCCGATGTTTATGATGCGAGTTTAAAATTAGCTTTCTAGTTCGGTGTTCGACACCCTTCAGTTTATAATGAGATTTCTTCGCTTGGCTTTGGTGTGTGCAGTCGATTTAGCGTTAAGATTGCTACTGAATTGTTATTCTTATTTTCAGTTACGTAAGCCACAGGTGGTGGGGATTTGGGAGCACACAATGTGTGCAACTGTTTTAATTTAGATTTAAATAAAAGGGTTTTATAAACCTTTCTTCTGCCGTATTTATTCTTAAAGGCATGCGAGAATTCGCTACTTCGTCTTCGACCGTAGGTTTTTAAGAGTGTATGCTCCCAAAAAATACACGAAGACTCTATAGAAGACTCTATAGAAGTATTATTTTAAATGTATCTAATTTATCTCATTTTTTATCCAACATTTTTAAGATAATATTTCAATTGCTTTTTAAAATATGTAAACTATTTAATTTTTTCCCTATCAGTTTAAATAAAATTTTATTTTTACTTGCAGTTCCGATTCCGGTGGTGGAAAAGGTGAATGGGAAACCGGAAGAGATGCAGTCTTTCATCCCACCGGAAAAACTTACGACAGTCTAGATAAACCTCGTTCCTATTGCCTGTGATAAACCAATGCGTTGTACAGTTGCGAAAGCGTGCGCGGGAAGGATTCCTCACTCAGGGATGCAATGCTACGGGTCGCAACATTCTTTTGGACCAAAATGATATATTCCTCACAAAACCCGAATTTATATGTGACACTTAACACCATGAAGAACATTTAATGGAGATGACCTCAAATGGAGACAAAGGGAACTGTTTAAATTAAATAATGTTTGACAGTCTCATCTCATAACAACTCTTCTGTTATTTACAGTTCGTATTAATTTTCAAAGAAAATGATTTTACTTGGCTGATTTACATATTTTGTATGAGATTTACATGACTGAATCTAAACGTTTTCTGTGTGCTTCAGATGGCATGTTTAATTGTATATTGTAAACTAAATTAAATAAGTAAAAAATGCATGAATATAATACATTTTTCATGGTTTATTTGCCTAGAACAGAACTCTCAGCTTATCGGAAGACAAATATTTGTGCAAAATGGCATTGAAACAGTGGAACTGAAAGTGAAAAATAGCCCTTTTTTTTAAGATATTCATTTACAGAAAAGATTTAATTTTTTCTACACTGTGTTGTGTTATATATATTTTTCATTCAATTTCTGCTTGGTGTAGCTATACATTACAGATAATCTTAGCACGCTTTTAAAACGAGGTTTTTACTGCCCATTGTAATGCATTTTATTCCTTGAATTTAGTAAATGCTTGTGAATACTGTCAATGATTATAAATAAATTAATTATTAATATAATTACTTTTAATAAATTTTGAAGAGGATTCCAACTTATTCTTTGGAACTACTGAAATCACTTTGCTTTTGCTAATACATTTTAATATTTATTGTTTCTAATTAATTTATTTATAATAATCTAAAATAGTTTTCTGAAAATTATAATTAATCAATAAACTCCATAAATACATTGCCTACTTTGAAGAATATTTATTAAAAATTTGTTCCCTTTTTTCTTCCATTCCACAATACGCAGGGTGCTTATAAATTACTCACCTAGCACAAAAAAATAGATAAAGAAAAAATATTACAGCATGAAATAAAATTATAATACGTATGGCCATTCGCAGCTTATAATCGAAGATAGAATAGAAATAAAAAAATTTATAAACGACTCTCTTGTAACTGCTGAGGTATTCTAGAGTCTTAAAAAAACGTCTCAAAATCTACCGAATAGTATAAGATTGTTTCCAATGTGAATGATGTAATGCTAATAAACGGAATAAACTATGAAGTATGTGGACTGTATAATGTATGTAAACGTAATAAACGTTGTAAATGAGATGAATTATGTATTGTTAATATGCTGTGGAGAGTTATTAAATGACATGGTTGGCAGGCCTCTAGATAAGTCACTGGGACTGGTTAATTAATGCTTAGATATTAGTAAACGGCTACATTAATAAATGTTTAGAGAAAATTCAGATATACATTCTTTATATTTCAAAAGTGCAGTTTTCGAAAAGCACATGGGTGATTTTATCCATTATCCGTATGTCTTATTACGACTTGTAAAATGCACTGAGTTTACAAATGTATTACAATTATTGGCACCCTGCATATACTAACAACACATTACAGCAGAATCATTCACATCATATGCATAGGTGTTTTTTTTTTCTTTTTGAAATAAAAGCATCATCAAGTTAAATGAAAGAATTATCCTAAAAATACATCTATGTATACATTCATACAATAGTGATTTTAAACTTATATACTTAATCATCACATACCATTTTGCATATCAAAGCGATAAAAATATGCATGCCATATGTAGAGTGTTTCATACATCCTGTATCATACCCAATAATCACAATTTTTCAAGATATTAAGTCGAGGAGAGTCTACTTAATAAGTCCAGGCATAATATTATAAATGCCTTATATATAAAGCACAGCTTATTTGAATTATGTCGAGAAGATTACCTGTTGTCAGCAGCCGGAAGTGAGGATCAGTACGTCGTCAGACAATCCCATTGAAGATATTTTTATAAAATTCTGTATGATGCTTGACCTATGGACACTCTGTATACTTAATAAGCTAACCATTTTCATGATAACGAACTCTATTAAGAAATCAGATGTTATGATCAACGAGATGCAGTTATAAAACGCCTTGAAACTGGTATTGTACATATACAAGGCATCCGAACATTAATAGTTGGTTTTGGCTTATGAGGCATACAAGTGTTGCCAAAATGTTGTCCATAATACTTTTCATGTAGTTACTATCTTGTATGGATCCGAAAAATGATTGCAAAGTTTTTGATATGTGTACTGTTGACAGTACGGCTTTGATGAAAACGATATTCGTAGTTTGGGTCCATATTCGAGCAGAAACACCTGGAGTTAATGGTTGTTGCTACTAAAGCCATCCCTTTGAAAGAAGATTCTGAATATTTTCAATATAAATCTTTGAATTCAAATGATGCCAGTCTAATAATACATACTGGCTCAAGTGTTTTGGATCTGTCTAAGCGTTCAGGTGACCAAGAATGGATTCGTTAAGACCAAAGAATGGATTCGTATTTTGATACTTATTTATCATCCTGGAAAATGGAAGTTTACTACGTCTTGCGTAATCTTTACAAAGTGAGGTAATCCGTCTCGGTAGAAGATCATGCGATAAAACTTTCCCGTTTCCTCAGTTTGGGAAATTAAAAAGAGTTCAGCATGTTTGCGTGTATTATGTCTACGTTGGCCTTGCACAATAACCAACCATTAGTATTTGGATGCTGTATATAAGAAGTATAAACATCTGTCTCTATTGTATTGTGGAAGTCTATGTTTATATGAAGTACTCCATTTATTTACATAAAATATGTCACATTTGTTTAATGTAACTTTGGTGTACTCCGTGAAATGTCACTTGAGCGTAGCAATGCATTCTGGAATAATTTTTTCCGAATACCTCTTGTAGATACTGTTTGTCTTCGACATTGAAGTTTGAGCTACCAAATATTCCTCAAGGAAGTTTTCTTTTATCTGTGTAATATCTTTAGTATTTATGTGACGCTTCTGTAGTTAGTACATAGTCATCGCATACTTATTTTGATAACTATGTTCGTGAAGTACGCATATTCCCTATTTCTATTTTTGTTCTCGAATACGCTGCATGGCTTATCTAATTTATGAAAACGCTTTATTATGCACATTGTTTCATGCGCAAGGTATTTTCTTGTATTTTATTAAGGTATTATATTTAATAACATTCGAATGGTGTTTACACACACAGAGTGAGCAATTACATGAGAAATAATTACTTTGTTTTAGTATTTATTATTGCAAGCAAAGAAATCTGTGATTGAAATGTTTATAATTAGGTAAGGATCATAAATTCTGCCTGTAGAGATCAAAGATTTTATTGAAAGACATCGTAAGCATTTCCTAATCATGCCATTTTTACACATGTAGATTTCTTTATCAAAAATGTTGTAATCTATAATAAGGCCTACTGAACTTCAAAGCATATATGTGTCAGAAAATTCTGGACTAACTACCTACGTACCGTGAATCTTTCATTTTTTGATAATGAGAACTAAGCCAAACAAATCTTTCAGTATATGCAATAAGGAAGCATGCATTATTACTTTTAAAACTTAAATAAAACAAAAATCATAAAAAAACTCGATTACTATATTAATTTATGGAATTACTTCTCATGTAGTATTTACCGAGCTCAGCTGAAAAATGAATCTTTTGTGCTTTTATTTACAAACACGCCTTTTTTCTTATTAGTTATCAATTTCTTCTACTGTCTTCATATTTATTTATATCGATTTCTTCTGCCGCCTTCATAAAATTAACTTTCGTTCCTTCTTAGATTGTTCTCAAAAATGTTATTGGTGAAATTTAGTTAATTGCTGAAAATGATATCTCTGTCGGTATAGAAATATAATATTTTACTGAAAAAAACACCTTTTTTTGTTTTACCTTTACATTTGAAATACTAAAATTAAGCATCATAGAATAAACATTCTACAGAGTTTTATCAAGGTAATATCAAGATAGTTTCATTTCGGAAAATAGGAACAGAACTGGCTTTCGTAAAGGTTTCTCAAATTTAAACATTTTCATGAAATTAATTGCTGTGTCATTTCCTAATCGTTTTCCTGAAAGAGACAATTTGAAAATTTTACATACTAGAAATATCATAAACGTTTTATAAATTATAATTAAAAACGTATGACTTATTGACCCTTGAATAAGAATCAACAACTTATAACTGATTATCACAAAACTTATTAGCTAATGAAGCCTGCTGTGACTGAGCCCAAAAGAAATTTTTTAATGAATTTGAAGTTTTGATAAAATGCCAATTATGAAAATCTAATGCTTCTTTTGAAAAAGCAATTATTACAGGCAATTTAGTCCAGTTTGCTACATAAATGATAACCGGTTTCTTTCACTGCAACAGAAATATATTAACGAAAAATAATTTTAAAAAGTTAGGCTTAGCACTAGGCTGAAAACTATGTTTCTTAGAAGTATTTTAAACATTTCACTTATAATGCCTCTTATAAATAACAGTATCAAAGTAGTTTCCTTTTGCAGTTGTTTTTCTATTATAATTCTTTTAATTTAATCTTCAAAAAAATTTGTATCGATATTATTGTAAAATATTAACTGATATGATGTAAACACCAAACGATAATAGCAAATTTATGAATTTCAGAATATTTCTTTTAGTTTTTTGTATTGTTTCAGTTTATATTGAAAACAGACATCAATAAGAAATTTCTAGGAATTTTATAAAGGAATTTTTAATATTCTAAGAGCAAGACTGATGTAAAATTAAAAAATAAAAGTGTATATATATGACAAGATAAAATGATTCAAATTTTATGGTTGAACTCAATAACAATTTTGAATGATTCTAATAAATATATTTACTTTTCCTATTAAACTGTGTATTTTTATTTAAATTACGTAACTTATACAAACAACATGTACAAATTTCTTTAAATTATGTTCTTTCATCGACATGTAAATATTATACTCTCTATTTATATATAACTTTTATATTATACTTTTTCGAAATCTTACAAAATAATGTACCACATATATCCGAATATTGCTAGGCATGTCTTTTCTTGCGTTTAAAAACCACGTCGCTATTTTATAGGCAGTTTAGAATTTAAAACAATCATTAGGGTAATTTATTACTTAGCCCTTAAACTTATCGTTAGAAGAGTTCTATATCAAGGTGTAATATTTAGACCATTTTTTTAAAATATTTTTATAAAATTTCTCGAATATATCAAGCTCATGCACATTTCATATATGTAAGTCAACCTAATAAAACACCTTCAAAACTGCAAAGTTGACTTACATGTGAAACCATTTTACACTCTTTTGCAAAAAAAAAAAAAAAAAAAAAAAATCGAAGCACGAAGAAGGACGTTTGCGATCGCGACGAAAATTGGTATGCAAAAACATCTTGATCGTACATGCAAGTGACCAAGGTTTCAAGGCAAATGAAAAGGAATTGCGATCATAGCTAACATTACTATTGCGCATTTCGCAAAGTATAAAACCAGTAAATCTTTTTTTTTTTTTTTTTAGTTGCTGCCATTGTAATTGTAATTCCGTAAAGAAGCAACTAAAGATGCCATTACGACGATATCGAAGACCCTTACAGACAACTAAACGACTTCGAACGTGGTCGCATTGTAGGGTTGCGTGAAGCTGGGTGGTCATACCGAGCAAAGGCCGCCACCTGCAGCGTACAGAGAGTGCTGTGCAAAGATGTTGGCAGCAATGGTTGC